AACTCATCTAAGGTTAAGGTTTGTCTCAAGATTGCTTTACTCACCAAAGGCCTCCGATTTTCATAATTATGAACCTTATAAACTAATTTGTCTAATTAACAGAATTACCGTTTACCAGGTTTACTTCAATGGAAACCCCTGATTCAATAGTTATCTGTATTCAACAACTGAATGTATTTCAAACCTTACAATCCTTGAGTACAGAGCCTCCGCAAGTCAATTGAATAAAAATGAATGACAATTGATTGAGTAACTGATTTAGTCAAAAATATTAAATGAAGACAATGATTATAATGATTTCTCGATAAACAGTTAAGTTATGATTTCCATTGACGAATTGTCATCAAAATTTTGCAGCGAACAGTGAAATTTGTTTGCGACAAATAGTGACACCTTCTTCATCCGAATAGACTAAAAGGTAAAAGAGTGACAATCAAATTGACTTTATGTTAATACAATCATCCGATTTCCATAATTATTAACCTTAGAAACTAATTTGTCTAATTAACAGAATTACCGTTTACCAGGTTTACTTCAATGGAAACCCCTGATTCAATAGTTATCTGTATTCAACAACTGAATGTATTTCAATTAAAAGGATAAAACTTTATAAAGGATAATATTATTTGGATTGCTCTTGAAGCAGATCATCACAGTCGACTAAATGGTAAACCCTTAAAGTGTTTTTCATGGAATGCAATTTGATGATGATTTGTTGATATCCATTTATTAATTGCACAATTAGCGTCAATAAATTAAACCTTTTATTGAACAGAAACAACGATCATCTAGTTTGAACAATCAATTTGAATAAATCATCAACAATCTTTGGTAAAATGTTGCCAATGAAAAAATCATTCAATGATGATATCTATGTAAACGCATTGTAAAGCTATTGCAATAAATTGTAAATTATAAATAAACCATAAATTGACCATTAATTGGTAAACTTTAAATCTCAATCAAAAGCAATTCAATCTCATGTTTACTGTTTTCACAATTAGCGTTTATTAACTCAACTCAACCATTGATTTACTCAATTTCATTTACAAAATCTTGATGAATCATTTCGCTTGGAAACTCACATCATTGCTCATAACTGACAAACCCGACTATCTTATGATTTGATCAGCGTCATCAGGTTAGCTTGCTTTATTATTGTGACAAGAGAATGGCTTGAAACAAATAGACTAAATGACCCAACTTGATTAGGTACTAATGAATATTTCATTTCAAAGCTTTGTAATCTGATCCAACATTCAGTCAGCATCATTGGTTTATTTTGCATTATTATCAGAAATTGATTTCTAAAAATAAAAGTGATTATAATTTAATGCTTTTTGGAAAATTTAGGCTCGATCTTTTCAAAAAGACCGACAAAAAATCCAAAAGTGTGTTATCTTGTGTATCTTTTACCTACTAAGATCGTATATTTTAAAACAATCAAATTGGGCTTGATTCTAATCGATCTTAGATGATCAATCAAAGCAACTCTAAGACCAAAGTCCTAATAAACACTTCGTTTTTTGCGAAAATATTCAAAAAATAATTTCTGTTCTGATTAATGTAATTTTCGGGCATTGGACTGGATAATCACTCGATAAACCAGGACTCAATTTAAGCTGAAATTGAGTTCATTGCGACTGAAACTTTGACATTATTGGTTTAGTTTCATTATTATTGCAATAAGAAATGACTAGACTTGAGATGACTTCATTAATCGTTTGCTTTGATGAAGCAATTTAAATACTGAGCTTATGAACACATTTAGATTAAAATTAAATAACCAATTGAACAATTGATTAATGGTCAACGAGTTAATACGTTTTGATCTTGATTAACCTGTTAAACAAGTTAACCACAAAATTCAAAAATAACATGAAATTGAAATTGAATTTAACTCTTTTTTGGCGTGCAAACATTCAATTTCATCATGAAAGCAAACAGAAAAATTGTTTGATAAAAAGGAAAGCCTTTTAATAGCATTAAAAGTCAAGTATTATTATTAAATCTGAATAACCTCAATCAAAGAGCGAGTTTAATTTACAAGAAAAAAAGATCTAAAATCACTTTGAATATTTCAAGTTATTTATAATGTAATTTTCAATTTGCGTTAAGAATTAAATTATTCAGAATAAATACTTTTAACTTGATAAGTGTTTGATTTATCTGGCAAGAAGATCGGAATCATTTCATGGTTATCCAGTTGAACCATTGATTTTCATTTTAATTGGAAAATGATAATTGTTTTGCTTCAACCATTAAAATCAAATTCGGAATAAGTAATGTTTCCAGTTCTGCAATTGATATTGATTAAGATTCATATAATGTTAATAATAATGATTATCATGTTGACCAGTGTTGCTAACCGAACAGATCCATGAAAATTGAGATGATATGTTTGTACAACAATTGGTCAGATGAGTTTCGATTGTAATCTTGAAGGAAATACAATCAGAGTGGAAACGAGTCATGAATTGAGGAAACAAAATTATGGCTTTTATCTGATGATAGAAATGACCACGATTCCGTGAATCAAATCAGATGCAGAATGATACATGATTATCATCAAAGTGAACAATAAATTGTGTACAATTTTGATTTAAAAGCATTTCTTTTTGAGCCATTTTTGTTTTACATCAAAAGATATTCATGACAATAGAAATGGAAAGTGCATCTGGAATGTTTATTTCACCTAATTGTTGAACCTTTTTTAACATGGTTCAGTCTTTTCCATTAGTTTGTTTCACTGAACCTCGGTCGAGTTTAAACATGAGAAATTGAGACTTTGATTGTCGATTTGCAAAAGTAAATTTCATGCAATACTCTGAATAAATTAGCAAATCTGTTTCATCGAAAACTTTACGGAAGCAATTCGTTGCAAAACTCAGTCACTAGAGTGTTTCACCGAAGATAAAAGATCAGCGATTCACTAAACAGAAAATGTTTTGTAAGCGTTGACAGTAAAGATCGTATTCTGGGAACAGACGAAACAGATTAAGTAAAGGTAATTGTAATCAAATATATCTTTTACGATCAAGTTTTCGAGATTTGGTGAAATGGAAAATCGAAAAAAGCGAAAAGTTGAAAAATCAAAATTCAATTTTCTGTCCATCAAGCTCATTCGATTGTTTTAGTCATTGTAAATTCTAGCCTCTGATTGCTTTAATATGTTAATTGGCTGTAATTAAAATAGTTGATCACAAAGGCGTTTATCATTTCATTTATTTTTTTCACTTTCATGAAGATGAAGATGAAAGTTTCCACTGATAATTGAACCTCTGAACTAAACCCTTTATTAAAGGCTGATAATTTGGGAAATGTTAAACCTCTAATTGTTCAAGTAAAATTATCAAATTAAAATGATTGGACCCTTTGGTGAAAAAAAGTTTACTCGAAATTAAAATGCAATTATAAGGCCAAAAAAAGAGTCAAAAAGGAAAGTATTACAATTAAAGTGATTCGAGTAAATTACATTTGGAAAAGTTAAACATGTTTGAAAGAGTATAACAGTTGAAAAAAACGAGAAGAGATGCAAATGATTCAAAGCAAATTGAAACTTTCCTTTAATTGCAACAACAATAAAAGTTTGGATACAACCTGAAATAGTAAGGAAAAAAATTTAGATGCAAGTTAAGGTTTTGACCCTGAGTTTACTTGAAGAACCATTAAAATCATAATCAATCTCAAGTTAATCCAACTCAAGTGAGAGTTTCACATTAAATATAGGTTACACTTTTTCCCATAACTTTACATCTCACCCCTGATTATCTTCCCACTTTAGCATCTTCATTATATTTCTCATCATGCAGATAATCGTTAATTCATTTATTTTCAATTATCGATCTTTTTTAAGATAAAATTTGCAAACATCTTCTGTAGCTGCCAGTGTGAGTTGAATTAATTCAACCCAACAAAGTCTCACTCTCTGCATCAAGTCTAACATATCTTTAGGGTAACATTCACGGCTATCATTACGGACATTTCATATTCTCATCATCTCATCTTCATCATCTTCGTCATCCTCATCATCCTCATCATCCTCATCCTCTGCATCATCTTCATCTTCATCATCATCACCTTCATCGTGTCAATAATAAGTAGTTGACTATGATTATGATCAAGCGGACGATCATAAATATTGCAACCTAACAGAGTCGATATCTCTGCACCAAATTTGCCATTCATTTAAGGTAATTTTTCCGTTGATCAACTTTCGCCTTTTCACATTTTTCCCAATCTTTTGTTTTTAGTTTACATTCAAGATTATTATGGGAACGAAGAAAGTGAATTCGTAAAATTTTGAACCTTTTCAGAGGCCCATTGTTTAATAATAGTAATGTCAATCTAATTATTCCAATTAGACAATAATTTAACTGTTTAAACGGCAACTAATTAAATACCTTTTAATAGTAAAGTAATGATGAAAACAAAAACCAGCAAGCTTACTTGCTCTTTGTTTTACGAGAGAAAAAAAAAGTTTCATCTTTTCGATTTTTCCTGTCTTTTGTTTTTTCCCTTTCAACATCTTCCTTATCATCATCCCTGAAACCCATCATTTTTTATCTTCACTTCTTCCTTCATCATGCTCATCTTCATTTTTATCATGTTACTTTGTTTTTGCCCATTTAAACTGAAAAGTCAAGTTCGGTGACCCTTCTTAATTCATCAAGACAAACATGCATAATGAAACAAGTTGGTAAACCAGTTTATTGTTTAACTCATTTAAAGGTAAAGTCCTGTTTCAGGTTCGCTGGTCATTCATCATCATCACACCGTGTTGACCATATATTATGATTGAAACAATTCAAATTGAAAGCACAAATCATTACCTTGTATACCGTTCAATATTAGCCACTCATTCAGTTTGATTAAAATTTTCTCGATTTTCTCACTTTCAAACTTCTCTCTCTCACTCACTCATTTTTCATCTTCATCTTCATCCTCATCTTCATTTTCATTTTCATCTTCTTAATCAAATCTTATTGTGGTTTAGTTGACTCACTGCTTTCTCACTGATTGTTTGTTACTTTACTTTGTTTATTTTGTTTACCATTATTTTGCTATTTACCTGTTCTTACCTGTCAAAACGTGCGCATTCCTTATTGTTACTGTTTATTCATTTTGTTGTTTCATTATTTTCTTCATTAATTTTGCTTTTCTTTTCAATTCTACCTTTTCTGCTCTCGCCTGTTTTACAATTTTCACCAACATTTGCATTTACATTTCAATTTACTTGCAGACTTCAATTTGATTAACTTGCAACTAAATAATTGGTTGCCATCAGTTTACCCAGTAAACTCACGTTCACCATCTAATCTCATCATTACAATGGTGTCTCATGTTTACCCATTAATTTGGTCAACAATTTTCAGTTTAATCACAGTAACACCAACCTTTGGATTATTGACAAATTCATTGTACGACGATGAACCTTTATCATTCACCGATTTCCAGAGTTTCCCATCTTTTAACCATTTCACATCAATTGACCAAGATGAGATGATGCCAATGGACTCAATCTGGTCACCAGGCCATCAAAGTGTCGACTTTCAATCGCCCTTTTCATCATCTCTTCACAATCACCATCTAAACCCATTCATGATGACTAGAAATTCAATTGGTCCAATGCATCATCCTTCATTGTTAGGTAAGCTCATCAAATCCTCTTCATCCCCAACCCAGTATGAATAATTCAATTTCAGTGAAAAGAAAAACTTTGAACTTTTACCATTTCATGTTTTCAAGTATTTTTCAAGAATCATGTTAATTGCTACCAAGGCAACTTTAGTCACTCTTCACTCAAGAGTTCAAGTCGCATCTTTTTCCTTGTTACAATAATAATGCAAAACAACTAAATGATACAGAGTTTAACCCTTCAACTACAGACTGCAGCAGCCATGAGTCAGTCAAGAGTCGATTTGAGCTGTGAGATAGAAGAAGCAATCAGATTTTTACGCTCTTGTCTACTTAAGGCCTAGCTCAACATTTTGAATGAAAATTGCCTTATTTTTGCCCAACATCTTTTAAACCACAATCTTGACGGTAACACTGTTAACTTTGCACAGTTTACTCTAAAGAAAGTGGTTAGACCTGATGAAAAAGTCAAAATAAAAATGAAAATAGGAAAACCAATTGAAAGCAATGGAAAATCAAGACAAAATTTTGTCTTGAAAATTAAAAAAACGTGTTTAAATTATACAGCTAAGGACATTAAGTTTCGTACACTTTCAAAGACAGAAACTTATGCATTTAGAACTTATTCAAGCTGACCAAAGATCCATCGATTTAAACACGAAAAGTTCATTACAATCAGATCAACTTTGATTGTCACCTTTGAGATAATGCACCGCAGTTGAAAATGCTTAATTCACTATTACCGACATTTAATACTAACATATCTAAAAATGTAGATAAAGCTGCAACTTACGACCATTGAAAAAAATGTATCTCAATGGTGATTGTAAACCCATCAATGTGATCGATACAGTTTTTCAAATCTTACACTTCTTTTGTTACGATAATAATGTAAAGTAATCTGATGACTGAAAGTTAACATCAAAAAGTGACTCAAATACGAGTGATGTTTGAAAGGAGTTTTTATAAAATATTATTTCTGATTTATGCGAAACTATCAATTTTAAGGTTCATTCAGACAGGATTCAAAGATGAATTTATGATGAAAATTGAGTGAAGCAATTTTTGAGTGAAAAATGAGCAAAGTAGCCATTCTGTCCATTTTTACCCATTTTTCACTCAAAACTGAGTTTGGATTGCATAAATTTTCCAAACCTGACAACCTTTGATCTTCATTACTTTGGATCATCATTAGTTTAATCAAATGGTAAACCTTCAAATGTTACCTGTTCCAATTTATTCTTATCCAATAAACGATGATCACATTTAAACTGCAACAAAAACTATCGGTTCGCTTTGAACAATTTAAGCAGTGAAAAGTCAAAAGATTAACGGATCAACGCCTAATCCTCTTTGCCATCTCAGAATGAAATGCTTGAGGCAATATCTCATGAGAAGAATGGCAACATGAAAAATGGCAAAATACGAGTTATAATTATCAACATTATTCCAACCAAAGAAAAAAAAGAAATCAATTTTTTCTCTCTTCCAAATCTCTTCAGTTGAATATCATTTTTCACCTTTTCCCATTTTATCATTGATTCACTCCATTTAATCGTAATTGTGACAATAATTTGATACTCTTGTGCTCTCAATGTGTGAATCAAATGAAGCCAATTATTATGATCTGACCAAACACGCGTTCAATGAAAAGGCGCAAAGGCTCACTGATCAATCTAAATCATCCTCTCAATTACCATAATTATGTTAACATTTAATGGATCTCAGGAGAGATGCAAATTGCTATTGATATCAACAATCAAGTTTCCTTTAAAGCAAATGAATACAAAACAGTTGAACAACAGGAAAAAGATGAACAGAATGTGATTAAATATCGCCAATTTAACCATTAATTGTCTCATCAATTATCTCACCCTTTTCTTGGCAAACCAAAACACATTCAATATCTAATCTGAATAGCAATAATTTCAAGATAAAAAGTGATTCTCAATATTTTTTGCTTACATTTAAAAAACAATTTTCATCCATAAATTATCATTTAAATCAATTATTACAAGCCAAAAGCGTCTTAACATGTTAACCCACCAACGACATTACTCATATTCAGAAGAAGCAAAAAAGAAGTCCATTTTTTCGAGTATTCATATTACAACCCTTTTCATAATATAATAATAGATGTTTGCTTTTAGGTTATTGGATTAACGATATAAGAACTGTTTTCTCGCCTTTAATGAATGACAAGTAAAAACTGCAAGTTAAACATGTTTCAGTGTATTGAGGTTCACTTGAATGTTTCTCAAGTTTTACATGGCACATCATCATCATTACCATCATCCGCCCACTCCTGTCATCTTGTGACAAAACTCTTCCGTTCCGTAAAAGAGTGCAAGAGAAGAGAAGAGAAAAGAAGAAAAGTATTTTGGAAAAACATTGAACATCACGCTATTTTTGACCCCAAAGGTCACTAGGGTTTGTCACTGGAGCACGGCAAAAGAGGTTAACTCGTAAGCCCAGTAGCAGTAAGCAATTAACTTTGTAACTTGAGTGGACAAAGTGAACACATTTGTGACATAAAGAAACGGAAAAAGATGATCAACATTTGAAGGGTAAAACTGATGATCTGACTGGAAATGGTGTTGAAGGAGCAAATTTTGACAAAATTCATTCTTAAAAAGATAAACGGAAAATTATTTTCCAATCAATTGACTTTTCCCGATTCCTTTGCTTACTTTGATGCAACAACTGTGACTATCGACCGTTGGCAAACCATAAGCCCTCACCCAAAGTTGAACACTTGATGAACCTGATGAACCCAAATTGGCACAGTTTAAACATGTAAAGTGAATTAAGGGAAAAACAATTATCATTAAGTCTGTTTTCACTGAATAACCAAATTAACCAGTTGAGAGACTAAATGAGGATGAAAGTTGAAAGTTTACCTGACAATTAAAGTAAATTCATCATTATCATTGTACATGAAGTGATGAAAAAAAGTAATTTTTTATCGAAAAATCTTTTCCTTTCTTTTTTGATGGTAATTTGATTCTTGCAAATTGATCAGTGAACAAAACATGACTTAACAATGAATCTCAAACGGAATATGATTTACCGTTGAATGAATAATATCCTTTAATGGGATATAAAAAAGTTGATTGTTATCAATTTGATAACTTGTCAGGCAAACAAGTGCAAAAAAAGATATCAATTTGATTCCTTGAGGTTCCATTGTTGAATCATGTTTCACTTTATTAATAACACTTCATTATCGTAATCGTATTTTCCCTTTTCTTGGTCACCAAAAGTTTCATTATTTTTCCCATGTTTCTCATTGAACGTCGATAATGGATGTTTAATAATAGACAATTAATAAAGTTTGATTGATTGTCTAATGAAGTGTTTCCGTTTGTAAACATATTGACCTTATTTACGTTGTTTGTTTTGTGCCATCCATTGGTTAAGAGTTGCTTGATTAATTTAACAGCAAACGCAAATCTTTCGTCAAATGTTTCCAAATTGTTGGACAATTTAATCAACAATTTTCTCAATGAAAATGGCTTCTCATCACTTCCTTTCTGGCTTGAGATAAACATTTGAATAGAGAAACAAATTGCTCCTATTTTTAGTTGCAATTATTACCATGTTGAAGGTGTTCAAGATGAAGGATAATGATGATGAGTTTGTTGATCAACAGCATCATGTCAAGTGAATAAGCAAACCTCTTTTGCTTGTTTGTCATTGCTAACAGAGAAGAGACTTGATGGCGTAAAACTATTTACCACTTAATTGTCAACCCAATCATTACAATTAAAGCATCTTGTGAGCACAATCAGAATGGTTCAATTGTTTCAATGTTTTTCTTTATGATAATGTGTTAATTAAGTGAACCATTTAATTAACTTTCAATTTTTTGATTGATTGCCTTGTTTAGGTTGAACATTAATGAAGACAATTTTTCACTCTTTTCTTTCCTTCCATTCAATAGATACTGAACCTTCAATGTCAACTGGAAGTTATTCACGATCCAATCGAATTGGCTTTGGTTATTCAGCCAAGGGTAAAAGTCGATCAGAGATTCCAGAGGATGTCATTGATGGTATTGTGGCCAAAGTGTTGGTCGATGAAAAGTTGAATCCCATTTTTAATCCTCGAAGAAGTAAACCTTTTCGCCAAGGTTCACGATCTGGTTATAAAAAGATGAACGGCAATGGATATAAAACAGCAAATGTTAACAACCAGAGAAACGGAAAACTTTACATGGGCGATTCGAGTAAAAAAGGTCGACCTTTAGACAGTGGATTACAAGATCTTTCTCGTTATGTCAAGGTAAGGGTCAGATACATTTGGTTCGATATGAAGATCGCATTAGAGTTGTTCAAACAAAGTACCTTTAGAATCAATAAATATTTTCATTTTGACTTGAAAGTTTTGATGCCACTTTTGAAAAGATTTTTGTACAATTTTTCTTCTCTTTTCAGAGCGATTGAAAGACTGTCATTTTGTCAATATTTGGTCTAATTAAGGCTGAATGTTTCGATCAAAAAAGTTACAATTTTCAATATCGAATTGCAAGATTTACTGGAAACTCTAATAAAAAAAAGTTGATTTTTCAATTTTTAATCGATTTCTTTTTCTTTTCACTTTCATGAAGTCATTACGCACTGTTGCCTGGGATGATGAGAGACTTGAGAAGGATGATGGATCACCTTCTTCACCTTCCTCATCCTATGGAGATGGTGAACCTAACGGAAGTCTAACCAATTATGGGCCAGTTTTCAAGACCAAATACGCCAAAAGTGACGGTTCTTACAATGTTTATGGATTCTTAGTGCCAATGGGAAGCAAATTGAACAACAATAAAAACAATGGCAACTCCAATGGTGAATCTGACAAAGTGCAATATAATGAAACACCAAGTGCTTATGGCCGTAAAATTGGTCCCCATAAACCTTGCGATTCACCTCATTCATGAAAAGACCAACATTTTTCATTTTAAACTCGTCATTATAATACAATCCAAGTTGCAGTTTGTAACCTTTCCATTCAACATCTGTACATGTAAACTTGAATCATGAAAATGTAAAGAAACGCAAATAAAATCAAGTGGAAAGCCAACAAGTTGATCAAGATTAACTTGATCTAGTTAAGATTAATGGTTTATTGGCAAATAAATGAATCTCCTCATCTCCTCCTTTTCATCATCATCATGTCATCCTGAAGCAACCTAAATAACACTTAAACACAGTTAACTGACATCACCCTCAGCATCCTCATGACTAAATCACAGGTTGATAGACAATGAATTTCATTCATTTCACAGTAAAGTTGATTGTTTATCATCACAATTTAACAACATTACGAGTCTGGTAAAAGTTGAAAAATGTTGAAATAGTTAATCAAAAGAAGTTGAAAAATCTGCAAAATTTTGGATTAAAGCCATTCGCCAATTTAACAAGCAAATGAATATAAATTATCGTTTATTATTTTAAATAATTGCTCTCAATGTAATTGGATTTGGGAGACAAATTAAATTCAACTCTAAAAGTTGATTGTAACTAAACATTTTGATTAAAGTGCGTCAACTGTACAATTGATTGCTTAAATTGTCGCTCATGCCTTTGCCAAATCAAAATTAATTAACCAATTAACATTGATAGTTGGTAGTTGAAAGGGAAAGATGATAGTTTATCAAGTTAATTAAAAAGAGCAATGAACAATGTTCAATGAACATGACAGTGATGATTATGATGATTAACATTACTTTAATGTATTCATCTTCACCTAGTAGTTTGAGGAGCAAGAAAAAAAAGGTTAATTAAACAATTTGATTAATCAAATAAGATCAACATTATTTACTGGTTTACTTAATCATTTACAATTAGTATTCATTGTTTGCCTTTTCTTCATCTTTACTTCAGAGTTTGTTCATTCTTCTCCTTCAGGACAACATCATGTTCAACATGGGTTCAATGTTATTATTGTTATGATAATTACTTTTCACTTTCATCTTATTATTGTTATTAAGCTTGTCGGTTAATTAAGTCAATAATGATTAATTGTTGGTTGATACTTAATTTAATATTTTCTCTCCATAATTACAACATTACCAGACTAATTAACAAAACTGTCTTAATTCAACCAATTAACCGGTTAAATGATTCATAAACACTATTCGAATTCAAATGGTAATCATTAACGACAAGCTTCAATTGATTGAGTATTATGTTGGATTGAAATACATTTGTTGAAAGTGATTCAAATCAACTTTGTTAATCCAGTTCAATTGAGCATCGACAATTGTTAGAAGCAGATAATAGTTGAACTAATTGATTAATCTGGTTGATATTGAGTCTGGCAGAAGAGTCAAAACTGATCTTGAAGTAAAAGCTATTCAAATCAAACCATTTAAGGGAAAGACGTTACATCTTCACCAAAAATCCAACAAGCACTTCTTTGAATTAAATTTTAACCGGTAAAAATACATTCTCTGCATTTCACTTTCAATTGATTAAGAATATTGCGGCCTCTTCTTTCCGTGAGGGTACTATTAGGTAAACTGCCAACTGCGAATGTCAATCTCCCTTCACAATTACAGCAAAAAGGGCATGTCATCTTATCGTTGGCTTGTAGAGACCATCTGAAGCATTGTTGACATCAGATGGTTTGACAGCCCGGTTGTGGTGATGTTGTGCGTACGAGTGGGTCCTCAACTACTCCTAAACAAAATGTGCACATGTAGTCGACCATTACTCAGGTTCAACACTTATTTGATGTGTGTCGGTTGCTCTCCATTCCTTTAGATATCTTGCAGGTTTGTTGTCAGGACCTAATAAAACTTCGACCCCAGCAATTCCATGGTGAGATAAAGGTTGCGTCCCTTAATAAATCGGTCTATGAGGTTCTGTTACCATCCAGTCGCAACCAATAACGTCACACTTTACCATAGAGATGACTGAACCCGGTTCAATTATAAATACTTAAACAAATCAAAATTAACATAAACGAAATTAATCATAAAAATCCAAAAACAAAAGCAAACAAAGAGTGGAAAAAGTAGTGCAGCAACCCGGGTTGCTAAGAGTATCTCTTCATAAACAAGCGGTTCTTTCAAATGGTGCATAATATCACACACTCATCTCTCACCAAACGCAATACCGCAATGTAATGGTTAATCAATTGATTCCTAAGGTAAAAATTGCATTCCTTTAAGACTTTTAATGCAAAATAGCCTGATAATGGTTCTGTTCAAATTGAGATAACTTCATGACAAACATTTTTTATGGAAAAATAACATGAAATTGAATCGTTTGACATTTCAACCTTTTGATGCAAGAAGTGCCTTTATTGGTGTGAAAATGTCTTGAGAGGGAAAAATGTCAGAACAATTTGAGGCCTTTTTCAAATGAATTAAGTGGTCAAGTTTTTAATTAGCAAACAGTTGGACAATTTAAAGGACAACAACTGGATAAAGATAATTGTGTGAAGTGACTCGAGTGGTGAGTAGGGTCTAATCTTTACCTGTAAATAGATCTGAGTCTCTTTTTTTGTAGCAAAAAATATCACTTCATTATACATTGTACTCATCCATCTTCAACTTGATTTTCAGTTTCAATCTTTTCCTCCTGTTAAGTGGTAATCACCTTGACTAGAGTAATTGAATGATAGTTTAGTTGAATGAGAGTAAATTGATGGTTTTCACAGGATTGACATTAAATAGATGAGGATGAAAGGTGGAGGAGGCAAGGGAAGGTGAAAGAGATAAAGAGTAAGATGAAGAGTGGGATGAGGATGCAAAGGAAATTAGAGTAAAGAGATGATTCAATTGATTCGATAATTGGTAGTAAAACAGTTTCAGATTAGTTTTAAATGGACTTTGAAATGCGATATCAGATAATCATTATGTTCATTGGATATTATTAAGGGGCAAACTTGACGAAACTTAATCTTACTCTGTATATAAGATTGAAAATTACTCGAGAGAAAAGAGATTATTTTTTTAAATTTGGTGAAAATTGGTTGAAAGTGAATGGGAAAAAAGTGACTTGATAAAAGGACAATTTACTCTTATAAAGAAGAGATTTTGTTTCTCATAATTGATTTAATGGTAACGTTTACCGTTTAGAGTGATTATCTTTTGAATCAATTGACAAGTTAATAAGTTTCATGTTCATTAATCTGCTGTGTAAAGTAATAACAATCAATAAAGAGATTTTTCATGATCAGCAAAATTGTCTCAACTTTGCTTTTTTTGTCTGAAAATTATGAAGGCAAACAAACGGTTTCCCATTAATATGAGCAAATGTTTCAATAATTTTGCTCGCCCATTGAACAAGAGATAATGAATATTGAACATTTCAAGCGATTTAACAAAACGATCGGTTTAATCGGAAAGTCAAACAGAGATATCAAGTGTTTACAAAGGACATAATCGTAAATCTGAGGGTTAAATGACAATGGGAATGAGGAAAATTGTTGAGCGTCAAAATTACCTCAAAGGTATGTCTAATTTGATGCTATGGGATTGGCTTTGTTTGGTTGAAATATTTTCAGACTAGTTGGACTTATTTATTGAAAAAGATGACATGGAAGAAGAAGGTAATGATGAGAATTATGATTGGAATGAAAATGGAGTGAAGATGAAGTGAAGATGATGTTGCATATGGATATAATGGTTTGTGTAATAAAGACTTTATTGGCCTGAGTTTGGGCATGTGATGGTGGGCTGTTCATGCAGTGATGGTGACATGCTTAGGATAAAGTTTAACAAGGGATTGAGGCTGGAGTCTGCATATGGTGAGTCAATGAGAGCTCATTAGGTTTGCTTGATGAAGGTGAAGATGATGATGATTATTATTAGAGGATGAAGAAAAGGGAGGAATTAAATGGCATCCTCATAACATTTCAAGTGTATCATTTGTTGGAACATTGATGATTATGATTATGTTGTTTGTCAAATTAGAGAGTAACAATTATGTCAAAATGGTGAAACAGTTTCGCGTTGAACCTTTTTTGGCTTGTTGTTTGTTATAAGCTAAATCTCATTTGATGAGACAAATTTTTTGACAGCAAGTTATCAAATCATTTTTTCCCTCTCAACTTGGAGGGTTTAACTTTCAATAGTTTCCTTTATTTTATAATATAATGATGATGTGAATGAAGGATGAAAATGATGATGATGATGATGATGATTCAGTCAACCTTGGTTAATTTGCTTGCTAATAAGATTCACCTGAATTCAATTACATTTTTTGTTTGTTTGTTTTGCTCATTTTTGGTAGACTTTTTTTGGGTACACTTTGTATTTTATTGAAATTACTTGATTACTTACTTGAGTTGTGTTCAAATTTAACCCAATTTAACATGGAAATGGAATTAAATTGGCAAAAAAACTCGAGTTCATTTGATAATCCCAAAGAGATTTCAATTTATAGACTGTCCCTTAACATGTGATCACCTTTGTTGAAGCTCCATTTTTGTTCAATCTTTTGTCTTTTGTTTGATTCAACAATTAATTATCACTATTGTGTTTCTATTTAATTAGTTATTCAAGCCCTTGATTGCATTTTTATGTTTTCAAAGTAAGTACTTTTAATTGTCAATTTAACTCGACTTAATTTGACTTTTTATCTTTACAGTTGCATGGTTTGTCCAATTCAAGTTACCAATCCAAGTTAATCTTGAAGAGGATAAAATAGGAAAGCCTTTTGATCCCGATTGGATTTTCTGATGTTAATCGGACTATTTTAGGTATTTATCTCAATGGTCTGACAATTCTTGATTCAACAGCCGAGGAAAATTGTCATTAGAAAGGTGTGGTTACCGAGATACTAAAAAAATCTGTTACATTTCATCAGAAAGAAGGATTCATCAATTGACTTTTTCTTCTTCCATATAACACACAACAACCCAATGATTACTCAAGGGGAAACATTCACACTGATTGTTGGGGTTGCGAGATGAGCAAATCTGCCGAGATTTGAACAGAGAATCAAATCAAGATTCATGGTTATTGTTAATATTGATGAATGAATTCATCTCATCTTTCCAAGTATTATATCAACTACAATATCAACTATATTACATTATACTTGTTCAGCCCACTTTCCTCTTTTTATGTACGCCTCATAATAATCAATAGGCAATCACAGCAGGTTATCGTTTCCTATTTCTGTCATTTAAGCTGAAAAGAAAGGCAAGAATATGAGCAACTGATGATAATTATGATGATATTATTTGCTATAATGTTGATAACCGCACGGATTTGAAGATACAGTTAAAATGAAGATTTGAAACAAAAAGGTTTACACAAAATGGTAACAATTTTACAACTTTTAGGTTATTTATCTTTATTTATTTATCCCTTTTCAACTTGTATCCCACTGAGCTGAACAAAAGTGCAGTTTCCTTTGTGAGTTGAAGATGAACATATTGAAAACTATTGGTAAATAGCTTGAATCAACTACTTCTATGGAAACATAGCATTTCGCCTTTGAGCTTTGCCACTATCCTAAACAAAATAACTGTACCATTAACTTGACACTTACGCATCATTTTTTTCAATGAATGTGTCCAATTATCAATTAGGACAGATTTGCTTAAACAAAATGTTCATTAAATGATGTTGACATTATGGACACTAGACATTCAAACTTGTCTCAGTTTTGAGGTTAATCTGTTTCTATGCTTGGTACAAAACTTTTTTTCAAAACCTATTAAGATGGTAACAAGTTGCCTAAATATTTTGACTGCAAAAAACACTTTATATTGCCAAGTTTCATCTCATTTTGTTTCCTCTTTTCACTTATTACTGTTGATCCTGGAGCTTTGCTCTTTTTTTCATCAGCCTTTTTTAATACAATAGACAACAGAGGATAACCAAAAGGCAACTCGAAATTTTCATCATTACCAGCAACTTGAATGGAAAGAGTAACCGTTTTTCGTTGGCATTAAGATATCACTTTACGTAAGCCATTAAAAGATTAATGAGAATTTGATTGAGTTGAATGTAATCTCGTGAATAATCAAAGTCCAAATGGATTAGCTCACTTGACTTGATCACAATTAAACATTAAATTGCGGCTCCAATTAGATAATTGACAAGCGAATTAGAGATGAAAATAAGCGAGATAATGCCTCATGGGAAGATAATGTGATAGAAAAAGATGATTGAGTTGAGCATCTAGAAAGAAAAAGAGAAAGAAAATATTATTAGAATTATTCTTGTATTATTATCACATTGTTATACACCAAAAAATCTTGCCAAAGATGTGAAAAGAAGAAGAAGAAAAGTAAAAGATGGCGAAATTTTGTTGATGAGAAAGATAGATTCATCATCTAATATGCAATAATATATTAATAGACTGTTTAAGTTGAATAGCTATTAATGCTAAAGGGCTCTTTGTAAAAAAATAGAGATGAAAATGATGAGGATGATGATGAGAAGGTATCATCACAAAGACATGAGCATTATTCAAGATGAATGTAGCGTAGTTAATCCTATTTGATTGTTTCCTAAGTAATGCTTAATAGATGGAGAAGAGAAAAGGCGAAAAAACGGAAAAATAAACAAATGTAAACCGGAAGACGGATACGCTACAAACAAGTAAACTCTCAAAGTGTTATCTTAATCATAATCTTCGTTGAATTTGTTCATTTCTCACAGAAAGAAAAAGTTTTCCTCTTCATCTTCTTCTTTCACTTCTTTACTTGCCTCTGTTGTTTCCAAGATAATTATTCACAACTGAGCCTATTGATGGTAATCATAGCGTGTCAATCCAAGTAAACTGTTCAACTTTTCATAATCTTTTTCTCTTTACTCTTTTATCCGTGCAAACTTGACCAAAAACAAAGATTGATGATCAACATTTTAAGCACCAAAGGTCGTTCCGTTCATTTGGACTCTTTTGCTTTCGCTAACACTTTATGGATATATCTCTCGCCTTGCCATCCTCTCGTCATCAGTAGTAACAACCTAATCAAGTAGAATGATAAAAAAACAATTAATATTTTGATGAATCTCTTTTTTCTTCAACATGATATGTCAAAAAGTATATCGAATTATAACTACCCATGATAATGATAATGATGATCATCTTTCTTTTTGACGCATTCCAATTGATTTAGGAATGTGTTAAAAAATATGTCAAAAATGGTTTCAAGTTATCTGTTAACAATTCAACGTTAAATCTCATTTTTTGCTTTGCTTTTCAGTGTTTCTCTCAGTGTCATTGACAAGCTAAACTTGTGAGATGAGAAGATGTTAAAAAGGAAAAGGCAAAGAAACTAGTGAAAAAGGATTAATTAGTCAAACTAATTAAAAAGTAAATGAGAATTGTGAATCGTATAAATAGCTAAACAAATTGTTTGGCGTTTGTTTCATTCATATCTTTTGCATGCTCTGATGTTTCAATGGTTTTTACCACTCATTTTGACAACGCTTTAGTTAATATCATTATTAATACATAAATTTGATAATAATAAGCTTTTAAAATTAAGCTTCGATATTAATAAGATTGTCAGAATGATTACCAACGCCTACAACAATGAGAGATACAAAATAAACAAGATTATTCTGTAAAATTGCCAACAGAATTAGTTGAACCATGAATGTATTCAATCTAATATGATTAGATTCATTTTTTTGCTCCTTCCAGTATTCAAGTTATTTCTTGATGATATCCAAATTTGATGATAATGAGGACAATAAAGTATTTAAAATCCAGTGGCTTCTCCAACTCGAGTCATTTTAAGCACAAAATTTTTGGTAAAAGAAACGATTATGTAACTGCCATCTTCACCAGTAAATCTTGGAGTAGCTCAAAGAGCAAGTCACAAAATGAATCAGATGAAAGTTGCGTGATTCAATTATACACAAGTATTGGATCTTAATCAGCCATCAAAAGATGCAATATAAGCTTGAAATACAAAATTCAAATCTGGCACCAAAAATGGTAAATTTAGATAAACCAACGACTACCAAAAATCACCTTAAGTCTCAAGATCTCCAAGGCTTAACCATTTACCGTTAAAAGTAAATCAAAAGTCAGACGATTTTTCCAATTTAACATCCTTCGGTCATGTTGAGAACCCATATTTTAATAATTTTCAATTGTACTGTAATAGCATGGTAAAGGTTATCCAACAGCAAGCAACGTGTTAAAATACTGGAAACCAATTTGAAAGTCAGACGATTGCTGTCTCCACTCTGCTGATGTTCACGTTTACCAAAAGATTAGGCCACTTATCTGTTGCACATTTTAACGATCACGAAGTGACATCCTAGCTTGATAACGGGCATTAAATATACTTTAAGCTTTCCAATTACTGAATAATTACCACAGATGGAAAGATTAACTTGAAAACTAGATGCAAGTGGTGAAAAATAAGCGTTAGTTTTAAGGGCTTTCCTCATAACAATAGCTATAAAAGTTAGCAGCAATTACGATAAGCACTGGTTTAAAGAAATACATTAATAGAACTAATTGTCTGCTAAAGACTAGCAATCAACTGATTAATCTTACTATAAATAGGATAGGATTAAGGAAACTTAAATTAACTGAAATTACTGTATTAGATGAGCAAGTAAACACATTAGATGGTGAAAACAAAGGACAAATGCAAGACAAAGAAAGGGACTGTCTTCTAATTTAAGTCTTGAAAGAGGTTAATTTAATGAAATTGAAACTATCGAATAATTGATTGTTTGATTGAAAATGATTTACCATGTTTTTGTTTTCACAATAAAGGAAAAGACAAATGAAAGGATCAATTTCCTTAAGGGTTTACTTTAATTATTATACCAAACCTTGAGGCTAATCTCATGTTAAATTGTGTTCATCAGCCATCAATTAATCGCCTATTTTCAGTCATCTGTTCAATTTCTCATCATTACCATTAACTAATCAATTTGTCTTCTCCATTTAATCGTCTTAATATCATCATTGATACCATTTAGTTTCACCAATTTTACAGTCTTATTATCATCATTATCATCATTGATACTATTATATGTTATCTTATTACCTTCATCAGTGTCAATGAGTGAATCCAAAGCAAACAAGAGTTGAACGGGAATCATCAATGAAGTATAAATCTGATGTAAAAGAGAGGAACCAAAGAGAGAAGCTAAAAATAATTGGATGATAAAGAGAAGATGAAAAAGAAAGAAAGAAGAAGAAAAATGAAAAGAAAGGACAAAAAAAGGGTTTCCATTATTTAGTTTCCTCCCTTAATATCAATAACCATGAGTAGAGCCTGAAGTATATTGTCCGTTACTAATGTTGATCCAGGCCGAAATAAAATATCCTTCAGTGAAAATATCTTGTTGTTTCTGTCCACAATCCGGTCACAAATGAGATTTGTTAAAATAACATCTAAACTTTTGTGTCAATTGTCACGCAAAATTAGGCCACTAACAGTCCAGAACATCAATGAAACGTCTCTTCATCAGTTGAACCAATTGCTACCAGAAACAGAAGCCATCCTTTACCAACTTAAACTAATGGAAGCTAAACAAAACATTTCAATAGTCAAGAGGTTTTTATGATCAAAGCTAACAATTTCAAGTGAAAATACAAGAAATGCCGTTTCATTTCAGTATTAAATTATCGCTAATAACTCATGGAATTAAATGTCTTAAAACATTAAACTGTTTCTCTGTAACTATGATCCTGAAAGGATGTTGAACTCATCGAACACTTCAACAATTTTGTAAAGTTTCTCAAATGAAAATCTTGGTTTGGGTTAAAAAACAAAAGTCAAATATTGTAGCCAAATAATTTGGTCAATTCATATCAATGACTTTTCTTGTCTTTATTTTTATCTATTCAATAGCTTAACCTTTCCAACAATCAATCGAATCATTTGCATTTTCAATTTACTTGGAAACAATAAAATATCATTTTAAATTGAACACTTTGGTAAAATAACTTGAAAATTAGGTAATTTGTAGTGAAAAGCAAATGAGAATCAAAATTGAATAAAGTTACGGTTCATTTAGTGATTAAATGATTTTTCATAAACCTTTCTACCTTCATTAACCAATTAGTTAGTTAATTGTTTCACAGAGGAAAAGTGATTTCAATGCGTTCATCATGAGTGAACATGAATGGAAAGAAAATGAAAAAAAGAGAGAAAAAAAGACATTTTTCTACCTCTTTAGGTGGATTACCTTGATGCAGTTTAATATTGAATAGAGTCTGGTTGGATGTTGAAGTGACTAGGAAATGAAAAGACTCGGCAAACACAGTGAACAATGCGAATGTTATTCCAGTTGATTGAAAATGAAAAAGCAACAAATAAATAACTAAATAAATAATAATGGTAACAAGTTGGACGCAAAACAGAATCGGTAATTGTTCACTAAATAGATAACCTCTCGAGAGTTGAACATCTATTTGGTATCAACATCAAGTATTAAAAAAGGTTGAAAAGGTATGAAAATGTGATTCCAATGAGAAGAGCAAAGAGATTGAGAAAAGGCCAAAAGGATGAGGCAACTGGCCATTCAAATGACAACTATTTTTCACATTTAATGTC